GAAGGTATATCTGAGTTTGCCTTAGTCACAATTTTTTTTCCTCTTGTCTTAGTATATCCACGTGTTCCTGAATGAAGTCACTATTATAGTTGAAGTTCTGAATGAAGCCAAGCATTCCTTTGCACTGTATACACCTGAACGGACGAAGCAGCGGTGGCCAATCCGCTTGGCAGCAGCAACAGAGCAAGAAATGCATGACTGGGTAATGCTGTGAATTTTTCATTTCAAGCTGCCAATATCTGAAATAAAACATCAAAGCTAGTCTCTGAAATCTCAGCATTACGTTTACAGTACCTACGCTACTTTCTATTTGCACAATTCAGGTTTTTAAAAAGTCTGTTGAAACTTATTTAGAGGCACTTGAGGCTTCCTGTCTCCTCTGGAGTTTGCACACTTTCTGATGCTGCAGTTATCCACAGGAAAACCAATATTGTTTTTCCTTCCCTTCCTATCTCTGGGTATAGATTAGGCTACAAATGAGTTTGGAGTTTAATTCAGTTACTCTATTCTTCTGCACTGGTAGAAGAACTGTTATCTGTTGTCACTGTTGTAGAGAGTCTTATGTATAGGCAGGCAGGCAGGCATCAATGGAAAACCTGAAAGATAACAATCAGATATGGCAAACCATATTGGTTTGAGTGATTGTGTTAATAATTTCTAAAACACTGAATTCCAATGCCTTTGAGAAAAAGCTGCAAATTCACTTTGCTGATTCGCAAGAACGTGGAAAGGTAAAACACTGTTTTGTAATGCTGAAGCATCTGTATGGAAGTTTTTGTTCTCAGAATAAATGGAAGCTTTTCGGTTTTGGCTTCTTGTTTTGTAGCTGTCTTTGCTGAACCTGTCCTGCTGTGAAAGCAGGCGGATTCAAGGCCCTCCTTCTCACCATGCCATTTGGTCAGTTACTTGTAAAGGAGACATCTTTGTCAGTGAGCCAAGTCCTGAACTGGAGGCCGGACCACACCTGATGCCGTGCGATCAAATGTAAGGTTTCAGAAGCTGTTCTTCCTGCATGGGGTGCCATCCAGCAAAGATGTCTTTCATGTCGAGTCAGTGGCTGTGATGGGCTGTTGGAGTGTATAGTGTGCTGCAGGTATCTGTCAATTACAAGGTTAATGGCTGCCTTCATATTCATATTTTAATTCTTAGATGCTGGAGCTATTCATGTGATTTCAAAAGCCTTTCTCACTGAGATACCATTTTTTTGTGATTGCATCTTTAATGCCGCAATTACTTAAATTAAGAGATGGCCTAGACTAAAAGTAAACCTAATCACTGTAATTGTAATGTAATTTGAGCTTTCGGTTTTATCTGAGTCAGGAAATCTGACATTCTTGGTCCTCCATAGTACTATAGTCCAGGAGCAGCTCCTTTGCAGTTTCTATTACAACTACAACAATATAGTACTGCAAACTCTCCAGGCAAAAAAATACCAGCCTCAGAACTGGTGTGTTAAAGGTCAATCTTCAATTTAAAAAATACCCTCAGTTTCAAGTTACTTGCACAAGTATCTTTGAATAATACCTGAGAAATCCTTTAGTATTACCCCTTCCGGGTAGAGCACCTTCAATCACAAAGCTGATAATGCTCTTGCATCTTAGTTTGGGGGATCTGTGACCTAGATGGTCTCCTAACTAAAATACTGCTCTGCAATCTCTTTATTTTCTCCATTCTTCCCCAGAAGAGTACCATGGCCAACTGGCTGTGTAAAGCCCCAGAAAAGGATTAGCGTGCAAAGATTAGGAGAATAGGAGGAACTGAAGCCCTTGTTTTTACCAAGCCCCATAGCAAATACATAAGTATTTGGGTTTTTGTTAGATAAAGGCAATTCCTTCCTCAGAAAAATGAGGATGAAGTTAAAGCTGAGGCAGCTGATGGCCACTAAGACATAAAGATTCTAGCAAGATCATACTAGCGTTTAAAAAAAATACATATCTAAAACACAAGCCATAAAATAAAAGGAAAGTAAAATACTTCAAAGCCTGAAAATTCCAATTGGAGGCAGATGGGTTCCTTCCATCTACTTCTCAGTAGTTAGAGGGAGATGCTTTCAATGGGCAACTGCCTTCACTTGCAGATTGCACGGAGGTTGAACAAGTGAGCATATAAAGTTGCCTGTCCTTAAGATTGATGAGTTGTAGGAGGGGAAAGCATGCATTCCTGATGGACGTGGTGTAGAGTAAATGTAAAATGTTACCCTTTTTCTGGCAGGTTTTGGCGTCAAGTTGGAGGTCATCTCCGATTGATAGAGTGCAATAACCGAGGCATAGTATGGGGCATAGGATATGACCACACAGCTTGGGTTTATACTGGTGGATATGGAGGTGGCTTCATTCAAGGTATGGAAGATTGGTCTGCCGTGGTGTGCACATTTCTTACTTGTCTTCCTGACTGGATCAGCTATTCAAGCTATTTCAGCTGTCCTTCCTTGAGCCTAACTAACATGTAGGATTATACGGTGAACATTAGGAAGGAATTGGTATTGCAGTTTTATATTTATATTTTCAGCCTAAGAGTGAGAAATAGGATAATTAGCAATATTACTGCAGCTATTGGAATTTAAAATGTAGTATGTTTAAGGTTTAGCTTTACTATAACCCAAATTATTTATTTCTCACAGGACTGGCCAGTAGTGCTGATAACATTTATACGCAGTCAGATGTGAAATGTGTTTACATCTATGAGAACCAACGGTGGAACCCAGTCACTGGATATAGCAGCAGGTTATTTACTCAATTTGCTGTATTTTTTACTGTAATTTTTTACTACTGTCAAATGAAACATGGGGTTTGTTCTAGTTTTTCAGAATAGTTATTACAGTTATTCTGTCTTCAGTCTCCTCCAACATTTATTGTTAACCTGAAATGGAAGGAGCAATGTTACTCGATTTTCTAGATTTGTAATTATCCATTCAAAATGGATTTGTAGCAAAACATTACATTTGGGAGTGCACAAAGTGTGCCTACTTGCAATGTCTTTAGTTATTAAGGCCATGCAGCAAAGTTCTTACTAGGGATCTATATACTTATATATATATTGTGCTAAATACACTGGGTCCTTGAAGAGTATATTTGAACACAACTATTGAAAAAGCATATATGTACATCGGTGTCTATACCAGAGAAACTCAGGATTCACCTTCCAATTTTAAATAGTAGTGAGGATTATCACTTTACAGATCAGTTTACATGGTCCTCCAGTTCGGTGTAACTGGAAGCAATTGTACAGCTTCTTTCCCACTATCCTCATCACTCACATGGTATTTCTAAATACACAGACTAATGACGGAAGACTGTTTCGTGTATGAAAGTAGGAATTGCTACAAAAAATAGGCTTTTCTTCCCTTGCCTTTTAAATTCTCTGTTGCAAATAACCTTGAATTCCTTGTACACTGTTTCACCACAGAGGTCTGCCCACGGACAGATACATGTGGAGCGATGCATCTGGCCTGCAGGAATGTACAAAAATCAATACCAAGCCTCCTTCTCCGCAGTGGTCTTGGGTAAATTGTGTCTTAAAAGTCTTTTTACTAAGAAGGCAAAGCTTAGCAACTAGGATACAAGACTTGGGCTTAAGTGACCCAGATTTTCTTCCTGGATTTATCATAATATTTAACCTTGGTTTCCCCATTTATAAAATGGCAACAATCTTCCAGAGTCAAAAGAATGTTAAGCATTGAGTGGGATTTTTTTATTTAGTGGGACTTAGACTACTGCTCTGATCCTTTCCTCTTCAACTGAACTAAAAAGACTTGGGAAACTTCTATATGAATTTATATTGCAGGTATTAGAAGGTTCTTAGCAAGTCATTGCACTCCAAAAGGTGGAGGGAAATCGTGGAAGAGGTTATTTACAGTAGGTGTTGATTGTGCTTGTTATTCTTACTGTCTCCTTTTGACAATAGGTATCCGACTGGTATATTGATTTTAATACTTCAGGCGGAACTGATCGGGAAGGCTGGCAGTATGCAGCAGACTTTCCAGCGTAAGGAGATACCTTCTTCTACCTAAAATACTAGCAGGCAAATGCCATACAGTCTTCATTTCTTCTTGTTTGCTGCTTTGCGTATTAACTGTCCTTTAACAGGCACAAGCGTGCCTTGATTTCTCCCTTTTTATGGGGACACTAACACTGAAATTTGCTGGGTAGGGCAGCGAGGTGAGCTTAGCAAACTATAGTTTCAAGTATTTGAAAGTCAGTCGGCATGTCTGGTGGGCAGATACATAGTCAGTGCTCAGGCTGGCACTGACACTGAAGATGCTCTGACATCCTCATGAACACCTATTTAAATCTCTTTTGGTAGGTCCTACCATGGTCACAAGACAATGAAAGACTTTGTCCGACGGAGGCGCTGGGCAAGGTGAGGAACTAAGATATAAATAGAAGTTTTGAACTTGAATGCTAACTGTTCCCTGGAAGTCTCTGTTAGTTATGAAGGGAAGAGTCTCGTCACCTAATCAAAAGCAATAGTAAAGAAACCTGCAATAAATAACCCACCTCCAGTTGAGAAGATGATGATTGTTTAGCATTGTGGCATTAATTTGAAGCCTTTACAGGTAGATACCCTATGTGATTTTGTGGGATCTGTAGATAAAAGTCAGCTAGTTATTCTCTGTATCAGATTTTCCTTATGGTAAATGATTAAGGAACAGTAGAGTCTAGGTATATTAGTACATACTAGGTCACTTGTAACAACTGGTAATATGTCTTGTATATTAATAGTTTTAACATAGGAATTCCATATACTGCGTACTAGGCTGCAGATAATCCCAACCCCATTTAAGTCTCACAGTACACTACATTCAGCTGTAACCTGGGAAATAGCAAACTGCCACTATATTCTGTTCTGTTAAGCAGGGAACGTCTGTGCATTCACTGTTCTTCCAGCTTTTCTATACTTTCTATACTACAGTACCTAATAGCTATGCTAATAAATTGCTGTGAACTTACAGTTCCACATTGTTCTGTTATTTAGGCTACAAATCTAGTAATTTGTTCCTTGTACAAAAATTTTTCAAGTAAGGTCCTGAAGCATCAAACTGTTGTTCCAGGATGTGCAACAAAACAAATGGCATTGAATCATGAAAATGTTGACTTGAAATAAAATAATCAACTTCAGAAATACCCTCAAACCTAAACATTTCCTCTTCAACTATCAATGGAAAATTGAAAACAAATAGGGAACAGCTCAGGGCTGGATCCAGTTTTTCACAACTGGAGAAGAGAGGGATGTCCTGAGGTTTTTAGGATATTTCATACACAGAAATTGCTGTTGTGATGATAGAATCTAATATAGTTTCCCTAACAGACAGCACTACTTTGCCGCAGTTCCCAGAAGGACCTACCTCCAGCTCTTTAGTTTAAAGCTGTCTTATCTTTGCCTATCTCAAGGTGCTACATAACATTTTGACAGGCCCCACCAAAAAACTAATTGTAAAATTATTCCCTTAACCAAGACAGGAAGGAATGAACCAGGTATGGAGTTCTGTCTGTAATGGGCTTCTCAGCTGGGGTCAAATATTCATTATCCAGCTGTTGCCCAGTGAGTTTTAGAGAGCTGGGGAGCAGTGCAGCACAAGCCACAGACTTCTTGGGCGGCCTTGGTGTTAGAAAGTAACTCTTTTAAAAACAAGCTTTGAGAAATTCAAATGTCAAAATTCAAAACCTGATGCACAACATGATTGATTGTTGTAAACAAACACCTTTCAAATTAAAAATATCTGCTTAATGAGAAGACTTAAGGATTGTTCGCACTGAATTCAACAATGGACCAGGAAAGAAAATTAAGTTACAGAAAGTACATACTTCTGACGGGTTTGGGGTTTTTTTACTTCAGAAAATGTAAGATAGTCACCAACGGGCCATGGCTGGAAGTGCCTCCTGTTACCCTGTGGGACATCTCCGTAATTCCCAGTTCAGATGCAGATGACGAAGAAGCAGTAGCACTGTGGGCAATCAGTGACAAAGGAGACGTGCTCTGCAGGCTTGGAGTGACACAGCAAAATCCAGCTGTAAGGCTCCCTGTTTATTTTTACTGCCTTATTGATGTATTTAATGTAACAATGCAAGTACATACACACAATCATTCAGTGCCTTTTCTTATAGCACCTTGTTATTTTTTTCCCCTTTATATCCCGGATTTGAAAGTCCTTGCCCATCAACTGTAACACAATTTGCTGCCCACATTTCTTACAGTAGCGCTTCTCTTGCATAATCTACCTTAGCTTGTGCCACATTGCTTGCAGGAGCCTCTCCTCAGCCCGTTTATCTTCTCGTGAAGCATTTACTCCCACTTTCTGCACTGATAGCTTAGTTGCTTGTTGGTTTTTTTTTGAATTGTTGATACTGTGTGTCCTGTTTAAATAAACTGCCCAGGGATAGAATTTCTTTAAAGCATGGTGCCAATCTAATGCCTGTTAATATCAGGAGGATTTTGTCCATTGACTTTTCTGGGCCTGGAAATGACTCTGCTTATGTAAAAGACAGGTTGGCCTGGACATACCTACAGATTTGACTTTTTTCTATGAACTGGGACAGATTTAATGAGTGAACATCCACTACAATATGCAGAGAGAAACAGAGTCCCAGTAACTTCAATAGGAATACTTCTTTCCTAATAATAGACACATGCTGAAACACCAAATTAGGCTTGATACACACTAATTTTAAGCCATATTTATAACAGGGGGAAAAAAACCACTAGTGATATACCTTCAGGGAATTTGGAGAAAAACTGCAAGAAGTTGAAAATTTATAGGATTTTTTTTTTCTTCCTGTTCAGTCACTTAAAATAGCACAGATCCATTAAGCAGTGCAACAGCAAGAACTGGAATACTTTGCCTGGAATTTGAAGCCCCATATCAGTCAATTTTTGTGAGGCTATGGTTCTGTGTAATCAAAAAAGGGGTTATTAAAAAAAAAAAACCACACAAAAGGGCTGTAAGCTCAGCCATTCAGAGACATGTAGGTGCCTACATCCCAGCAATTTCAACAGAAAAGGCCCTCTTAGAGTTCAACATAGATATTTATCTCAGAGAGTTAAATAGCCAAGTACTTTGAGGATCAGAGACCTTGTTTGTGTTCAGTCACAAGGTACAGGAATTATTCTTCAGAATATTTTTCACTATCTAGGGTTTTTCCCGTTTGGCAATAATCAACGATATTTTATTATGGAGTTTTTAACCGTTGCTTCATAATTTGTCTTTTGTGATTTGTCAGGGAACATCCTGGCTTCATGTGGGAACAGATCAGCCCTTCATTTCCATCTCAATTGGAGCGTTTTACCAAGTGTGGGCTATTGCTAGAGATGGTTCTGCCTTCTATCGGGGTTCAGTGTCTCCAAAGAAACCTGCAGGTGAGTACTTGCACTTTTTTGGTACAGTCTTCATCTTATACATTGTGTTAAGCTCTACTACACTGGCATGTCTGAAAAAGACAAATCTGTTTAGCAGAGGCCTTTCCCATAGCTGTGCAAAACAGTGCATATGAACAATACTCATGATAATTATAGCAGTTAATTTGCTCTTCATTTGTGTGATTTAAAGGGTGGTTTGTTTCTAAAAACAAGCTAGTAAAAATACATTGAGTGTAGTGTCATTCACAGCTTTCTTGCACAGCTATGTATTTCAACTGCAGACATTTCCAAGACTTCTCATACACAATTCTGTTTTCTTAACATTTTACTCAAGTATTTCTGACCTTTAGGTGACTGTTGGTACCATATTCCTTCACCTCAAAAACAGAAGTTAAAACAAGTCTCAGTAGGACGAACATCCGTGTTTGTGTTGGATAAAAATGGTAAGGATTTAAAAAAATTATTTATTAGTGTTACAAAAAAAAAAATCAGTATACATCAGATTGATTTAAAAAGGAGAGGCTAAGTTAGAGCTTCTGCTTGGATCGATGATTACTGTTGCTCCAAGAGGAGTAATATTTTGTATTGAAAGGGAGTAGGCAGCTTGCTTAATCACTGATTGTGAAGACTTGTTCTTTGTTACACCTGATAGTGCCCTAGATAGCATCCGTCTGGGATCTATGCTATTCTTGGGCGGGAGAGAGAGTGATGAATCTCAAAGAAGAGAACTGCATGGAGGATTTTGTCTGAAACCCTAGAATGTACAAAACTGAAGAGGAATACCTTCCTGTTGCAAAACCTAGAAATAGCACCATCATTGCGAGATAAATTATGAAGCACCCTTTTGTGAAGGAAAACAAGCCTTTAACACCAGTCGTCTTCAGAGTTCTTAATATCATTTGCTTTACTTCTCTAGTGCATAGTTCCTTATATGAACATTTTCCCCATGAAATTTTACAAAATGGAGTACTTGCTCTTTTCCAGAAAAGTTACAAAGAATAACTATAGAAATACAAATTCCAAAGTAGGAACTTCATTGTCCTTCACTGTAACACATAAGTCAAAACCAGAACGCATTTCCACAGAACACAGAAAGTATTACCAACTACTGATGTAAAAGTATTAACTACTGATTTGTTAATGTTGTTCACTAGCACTTTATACAAAGCAGACATCCTGAGCTGTAACCAGGACTACTTATTTTACAGGCAATCTTTGGTACCGGCAAGGTATCACACCAAGCTACCCTCAAGGCTCTACTTGGGATCCTGTTTCAAATAATATCCGTAAAATGTCTGTAGGGCCCCTGGACCAGGTATGTATTAAGCTTCCTTATCTCTGTATCTCATTAGTTTATTAAAAATTATCCTTAACATACTTTTGTAATTAAATTAAATGTTCTTCAAAATTATTTTTGTGTAGCTAACTTTATTCCACAAGGTGATTGTCTAAATGCCAGAATCCTGATAGGAAGGCAAAAATCGTGCCAATGAAACAGTGATACAGCCAGCCCTTTGCTGTAAAAAGCCTCATTAATTTACTGTCTTTTTTTTAACAAGGCTATTTTATCTCTCTCCTGCCAAGCCTCACTATGTGGCAATGTTTTAATTACAACATTGGTATCTGGTTGGTTGGTTGGTTGGGCACCTCTCTGGCTAAATCAGAGGAACTTTGGCCTATTCAAGATCAGGACTAATTTCTGAAAGCAGTCAAACAGACATGAAATTTTCACATCTGGGAAGAGCAGCACGAAGAGCACATTTTATGGCCTCTCTTTGCTTTCTTGAGGTCTGGGTGATAGCTGACAAAGTGCAAGGAAGTCATAGTCTGAGCTGTGGGACCGTCTGCCATCGGACTGGTGTTCAGCCAATGGAACCTAAAGGCCTCTCATGGGATTATGGTATTGGGGTAAGTGCTGGGGGCATAATACTGCCTACAAGCTATAAACCCAAATACCCATGGGCACGCTTAGAAAGGAAACTGCCATCCCACTCCAGCTGGCGAGCTTTCTAAAGGTTGCTTATACCTGCAGGGAACTGACCTTTGTTCTTCAGTTTCAGATTCCTTTTTTTAAGTTAATGTAATGGGCTGTGCAGTTATAGCTGGAAAGTAATTTATTTGCATTTGATAAGTATTCATTTTAAATAGGTAATTTTAAAGTTATAATGGAAAAATTCGTAAAGTAAGCAGCATTTTTAGAAAATGGATTCTTTCTGAGTCTGCACGTTCCTCATTGTTCCCTGTATTGCTCTCAGTGTTTTGAGAAAAGCTGTTTCAAGGGTTTGGTCCCTTTTAAGTTGATGGAAAACCTGCAATAGCTCTGTTATGAATGCCTGACCCTACTAATCTCAATTCCCTGTAATAAAAATAATCCTTAGGTTTACTGCCTATATACCTCACTGTCAGGGAGGTGAGGTGTGTTGTGTTTTACAAGGAGCCTTTTTTTCTGATCCAGCCCAGAGCAAGATTACTTTCCTCATGAAAAAGCAGTATCAGAACTAGTAGCATACATAAAGCATCACATCAGATACTGTAATTGCAGGGCGATGTTTCTCCTTTTTTATTTCTTTATCAATATTTTACAGGGTGGATGGGAGCACATTACAGTCAGAGGAAATGCAACTGAAGCATCCAGGGTTGCTATGCATGACACTTCCGAGGAAGACACTGCAGTATCAAAGGATTTAGAAGACGAAGAGAGTAAAGGGAAAACAGAACGCTCTAAAACCCCTCTGATGGTCAGTGAAAGTCAAGAATTGGACAGAAATGCTGTTAACTGTTAAGTTAATCTACATATTGCAAACAAGCAGTAGTCAGTGTAATTTAAAAAGAAACTAAATATCTATTGCCTGGAGAGAAAAACATGACCTTTTTGGGGTACTAATACATTTTACTGAACTGAAATTTGCAATGGGATATTTTAAATACTGATTCCTTCTACTACATCATGTGTGAACTGTGACTTGATAGAGCTAATAGTTTTGTCAAAGCAGGCAAGCTCTTTAGCCACAATGCATTTCTGACCCTTTACCATAGCTGCTACAGAACCATACGAATGTGAATCTTTGCAGATGATCTCTATGTTTATTTCTTTTGTTATGATTACAGTTCCCTTCCCTACCTTTCTCTCCTATTGACACACCTTGCACACTATTCTCCAGATTCATATTTGAGCAGAGATGATGTCGTATCATTTAAATTAATTATAGGCAAACATAACTTGTCCTGATTGTACAGGCATTTGTACATGTGCGTAACTCTGCACATGTGAGTCCTGCTTATATAAGCATGTAGCTTGGGTCATGCTATTCTTGCTCCCAACAGTAAAATTAAATTCTATACAACTCAGCTTAGGGTGCAGTTACCAGTGAGGGCCAGCTTTTGCTATCTTTGCTCACAATGAGCATATCTTAATGAAGAAGTGGAACCACTAGTTTCAGCAAGACTATGTAGTGAGCATGCTCCTAGCTAGTCTTTAAGTGACAAAGCCTCATTCTAAATTGTCAGTCCCAGTGGTGGTAAATCATGTTTTGTCTCCACCTTAACTGGAACCATGACAATTGAGGTATACAGATGCCTGCCTAATGAGGTTGGAAGGCACCAGACACTTGAGGAGTTAGGCTGTGTTCCAGACCATTGCAAATTATGCTTTCATAGTGTAAAAGACAAGAGGAGGTCTTAAATAAGATTCTGACTTCACAGCGGTAGGAATGCAGAACTTTACTGATACCAGTATACTGACGTGGGTTCAGAATGAAGCTCTGCTCTTTGTTTTTAGTAAGTGATTGATTCATCCCTTCTTCAACAAGAAAGCACTTTTTATTCTCAAAAGAAACTTTTATTCCTGTCTTACTCCAATTTGACTGTGATGTGAAATTACTATTTGAAATCCAGTCCTTGGGAAGTGCTGAAAAAGCCGCTCCCAATAGCTTCAGGAAGGCACCACGTTTTTCCCCTGGCAGCAGTTTACAATCATTTGTGTGTGACTGTGTATGGAGTTATTTTTATATGATGAGCAGCGTGGTGTGGTCTCAGTACTGTATTTGTAGAAGTAAAACTTATGTTTGCACGTATTTAAAGAATATATTTGGTATTTTAATGCCAAGGAAAGCACTGTTTCCAAGTCCAAATGTGAATGAAGATTCAAGATGCTTTACTGTTTAAAAAACCCTGTTGATCTGCCCGGTATGTGATTAGAGATTTCTGGTTTATACATACATTATGGGAGTACCGTAAATAACATGTTTGCATTAATGCCCATAATAGGTTTTGCATAACTTGCACAGTATCTTGTCCAAATAAATAACTTTACTACATGTATTTTTAGAGAATTACTAGGATTATATTTTTTCTGCATCTTATCAAAAAGATTTGTTTTAATAGTCAGTGTTTACATACCCAACAATCAAACTGATTTCATACAATAAGCTTTATAATGTACCTTTGCATTTCTCCCTGCATTGCCAAGTTTCAATTACTTTATTGTAAAAAGCTAGGTTTAAGTGAACAAAAGATAAATTGTAAGTAAGTTGTTTCTGTTTGAGTACTAAATATTTGCCTTCTGAAACTATTATTTAAAAAAATATTTTAATTTAAAAATATGTCATTGTTATGGCTAGTTAAAGTAAGGAAAAGTTACTTTAAATTGAAACAATTTTGAAAAATAAAAGTAATTTATCCCTTTTGACATGTCCAATAAAGGAGCACTTTGTAGCAAAGTACCATTTTGGAACTAGCAGTTGTCATTCCATTAAAATGCATGGCTCCTGTGCCTGAATATTCATCGGGGATGGCTGTGTTCAGAGAAGGGGTAACCTTCACCTCTGATGCTGTATTTATAGCTAAATAGCGCATGCCATTTTGGGCTTAGTGTTTTAAATAATGCCTCTTTGTTTGCAGGAAGTCCTGTCAGAAATACACTGCCCACAAGCATTTAAACTCCGTATTTATAATGATAGTATCCGTAATTGCTTCTTAAAGTGATATGCAATTCTTCATCAGTGGTGCTATTAAATACTATTTTTTCCAATTAATTGGTTTCCTTCCTCTGCCAAAGTAACTAAATAGCAATTCAAACACAGCTATCCCACAAAAACATTTCAGGGACAACATTTAGTACCTGGAAACTCTTCAGATCTCCCTTATAATGCACCGGTCTAGCAGACTGCTGACTTTAAAGAATCCTACAAAAAAAATAAAATTACATAAGCTGCAAGTGCTTAAGCCATCATTCACTGTGAATGATGACCCACATTACTTAGAACCACAGAATTTAGGCTGGAGGGGACCGCAGGAAGTCATCCATTCCAAGCCCCTGTAGGCCTGATACAATCAGGTTGCATCGAGCCATGTCCAGGCGATCTCCGAACACCTCCGGGGATGGAGGTTCCACAGCAACCACCTCACGCTGGTATCGGAGGCCACCGCTGCTGCAGCGCGGGGCAGAAGCCCGGGCCCTCTCTGCAGGCCACACCTGGGCCTCCTTCCCCTGGGGCAGCGGCCCC